GTGGCTAGAGGAGCCAGCAGCAGAGATCATAGAGGGCCTTGCAGCAGTCACTTGGGCTTGATCCTGTAAGTCATGGTGGCACACTGGAGTATTTTATGCAGGGAAATGGCATAATCAGAATTGATTTTTAGGAAGTTTACTTACAGCTACATGGATGAATTTGTGGAGAGGATGGTGTGGTGGGGAGAAAGGCAACACTTGAAAAAGTGAGAGCTATCGCAATAGTCTAGGTGACCAAAGATTCATCTATTGCAGACTCTTTTCTGACATGCAAGCTGGGTCAAATCCAAATATAGTTCATTTTCTCAAGTGTACACATGGGCCAGACCACATAAGAGAATTAAAGTTCTATGGATCAGTGCCTGGAGAGTTTGGTGTTTTTGAGGGTGGACAGTGAAGGCAAGAGGCTGATGAATAGGTGATTTGCTTTCATTGAAGGTTGGCGGTGGTGAGAAAACCTAAAGGAGCATGGGATGAGGATACCCAAGAACTAGTAGCTAAGAGTTGCATGCTATGTTGTCTGATAGAAAGATAGAATGGGTGGTCCCCAGCTCAAGGCCCTAAGGCAGAAGTGGGAGTTGGCTTCCCTGATTACTCATATGCAGAGAGTTTATTATGTTCATTTCATTTCCACGTGGGGCTGAGTCAGTTGCACCACTATATACAGCTAGCAGCAAGCCAGCTCTCTATGACTCATTGCTGGGCTCAGTCTGGTCCTTTCTGGACATTGTGGAAGTCTTTAAATAACACCCTCCAATCCAGACTACAGATAATATGAGAAAATGATTGTGACTTATTCATTAGGTGAAAAAAAATAGTTTATAAAAAGTAGGTACTTTTTCGTAAAGGTGAAATATATACATATGTGTATATTCATCATATTTATGTATACATATCATCTATATTAAAAACTTATTTATGAATCCTATTTGTAGAAGTTTCAGGTATCTAAAGCAGTTCTAGGTATAGTAAGAATTCAATAAATATCAGATATTATTTAGTATTATATTTGAGTGGTGGAATCAAAAGGTTCTATTCTTTTTTATTTGTCTATATTTTTCAAATTTTCTAAAATAATTTGTTACTTTTATAATGAGAAAAAAGACTCAAAATATATTTAAACATCATCAACCTTTTTTTTTTTTTTTTGGCTTATAAAATGAGCAAAGATGAAAAACTAATAATACTCCATGGTTACAGAATTCAGAGAAATGAGTACTTACTCTCCTCCATTGCCAGGGTTGGAGCTGGCCAAACCACGTAATGGTGAGACTGCAGAGAAATGTAAACTCAGAGCTATGATGGTGGCAGGGTAAGATGCTATGACCAATGTGAAAACTAATCTGACTATGCACAGACCCTATCCCCCAGCAATTCCACCCCAAGAGAAAACTCTTGCTCATGTGTACAAGAAGATATTTACAAGAATATTTATTGCAATGTTGCTTATAATAGTGAAAAAAGTGGAGACAATAGAAATGTCTACCAAGAAGACAATGAAAATTTGATGGCATATAATGAATACCATATAAACAACTTTGAAAACAAATGGACTAGAGCTACATGTGT